GGTAATGTCTATAGTTTCACTCATTATATATTATTTGTTTACAAATTCAAGTCGCATAACGTAAATTAGTCTAGCGCGTAATTTATATTACGAAAATTTAGATCACTGATCATCCGGGTCACCCGGGTCACCTGGGTCAAGGAAAAACGTGACCCTGACCCGACGGGTTTTATCGAATTAGGACTTGTGTCATAAAAATGATAAACCCGACTCAAGAAAAAATTTGAGTCGGGTCGATCAATCTGGGTCGACTCGACCAGCTCGGAGCACTAATAGTGAATATCTAGTATTTTTCAAATGTCAGGAGAATTTCTAATAAATCTCTCAATCATATCAGAAACATTGTCCTTAACTTCTTCATATGCTAAAGTTTTGTTATTTTAGTAAAATAAAGTTGGCAATTATTTATTATTATTTTTTTTTTTTTTAAAAAAAAAAGATATATTAATATTAAAAAATTAATAAATACCAAGCTGGTTTTTATATCCGGATATTTTATTTCTTTGTTTTAAATATTCAAGAGCATAGCATGCGTACACCATTAAATCCTTATGAAAATTATAATCATTATATACCCATTCAAGATGAATATTTTCTAATTTAAGAGAAAATCCAATTTTATCTTCATAAACTATTAAATCTTCTATATCTAACATTTTATCATCTTTAATATCATGAGCCCAAATATATTCAAGAACAAACTTTTTTTTTTGCTCATCTTTACGCCATACTTGAACTGTACATTCCCCAATATATAACTGTATCAATTCATTGTGACCAAGATAATATACATATATATTTATATTATTATTTATGTTTTGTTTTCTATTATGCAGCATGTGTTGCGCTTCTTCTTTTGAAAGGTGTTTTTTTTTATCATTATTTATCCATGGTTCTCTATTATGTATATTATGTATCATACGTTGCTCTTCATCTTTTGAAAGTTGTTCTTTTTCATATACTAGTATTTTATCATTATTTTTCCATGTTTCTCTATTATATATGATGCGTTGCACTTCTTCTTTTGAAAGGTTTTTGTATTTATTTGCTAGTATTTTATCTGAATTTTTATTTTTATCATATTCTATCCATAGTTTTGAAATGTGTTTGTTTTTATATGTTAAATTATTACAATCTTTACGATCTTTGTATAATATTAATTCTAATAAAGACTTTTCTTTATCTTTTTCTTCGAAATGATCATATACTGAAATTACAACATCCTCTTTATCAACAATTACATATTTATCAGGAACCTTTGCACTATAAAAAACTTTTTCATTATCTTCTACCGAGATTTCTTTTCCCGGGAAACGTTCACTACATTTTTTAATTTTATTTGTATATAAATGCCAAATATACATCATTGGATTCTCATGTTGGCTCTTCTAATTAATATCATTAATTTGTTATCACCCTTAAATTTGCAAGCAATTACTTTGTCTTTTCCAAAATGTTTATGAAGAATTACCAGACCATTTTCTATTAAACAAAGAGCTATTGTTCCATATCCAAAAGAAAAAGCAATCATTTTCTTATTATTTGAAATAGCTAATGTCGAATCGCTATATTTAAATGGATATTTTCTCCCTTCATATATTTTAAAAATTTGTTGTATTTGCATGGTTCTTAGATCGTATAATTCCATAACTTGAATACCTTCTTTATATTGCTCAACATGAAAATAATTGTCAAAAATACAGTTTTTAATACAGTGTATACGAGATTCAGAATCGGTTAAATTTTTTAATTCGTTCATACTTATTTTTGGATAATTAAATTGCTCAAAATTCTTTGAACTTTTATTATTGAACGTACATTCAATTCTATAGATTCCGCTTGCATTAAAGATAAAGCATACAGGTTTATGTTTATCGGAATCGTTTTCACCAGACTTGTTTTTGGTGTATTTTTCATTAGAATCGTTTACATCAGAACCGGTTTCATCATCCACAAAAAAAACAATTCCCCCGAAATTTTCCTTTTTATATTCGGAAATAATAGGTTCCTTTTTATCTTTATTAATAATTTCCTCTTTATCTTTAATAATAATTTCCTTGAGTTCTATGTTATTAGCTTGAAAATTTTCCTCGTTATATTCGATATGATTTTTATATTGAGCAATATTAAGTTCTAAATTTTCAATTTTAAAAATAACTGTTTTTCCATTCCCGGTATTCTTACTTTTTTGTTTAACTGTCATATCGGATTCGGTTACACATGATATTGCAACAAAGATGGATTGATTTTTATGCATATTTGATATTGCTAACGTCCAATCTTCAAATTCAATATTTTCAAAGAGAGCTCTCTTTATTGTACATCCCTTAACCTTATCTTGAGTATGATTAATAATGTTCAACTCCATTGAATCTGCAAGCAACATATATGTATAACGATTAATTTAAAGTAAGAAACGTAAATAATAATAATAATTAATTACCATGATTAAAAGTAATGAGATAATTTCCATCTGGGCTAATAGAAATATGCCATTTCGAATCTGTTGGAGTTGCCGATGCTTTTCAAAATAAAAATATTTAATTTACTTATATTATTTGAAAATTTAATGAATTACCTATCAATAATATAATAGAAATCAAACTTACTGTCTATTTTATCACTTGGTAAATTTTCAATTAGCTCACGAGCAATTCGTGATTCAGGGATAGCTGGTATATAATGAATAATTTTAATTGTAAAATTGGTTAAATTTTTAATTGTAATTATAATTTAGTCAAGTTTTATAGATATACAATAGGGAATGAATAACTTACAACCCATGATTTATAAATGAAGGAAAAATAAGTTTTCCTAAAAAAAAAAAAAAAGAATTATTTGTCATTTAAATAAATAAATTTTACACGTATGTATGCAAAGTAATGCCTTTTTATTTTGAAGTAATGCAATGCAATAAACAATTATTTAAATTCGCTATTTGGGTAATTTATTGATATTAAAAAGATAGCCTAAATTGGAATATGCGATATTCTTATTTGTATTTTCTATATCTGAGTAATTCAATAGATAGCCTAAATTTGAATTCGCGATTTTTCTTATTTGTATTTTCCTTATTTGAGTAATTCAATAGATTGTGGAAAATAGAAAACATGTAAGGTATGGTGACCAATGTAATGACCATTGTATGGCGTTGTATGGTGATCGGCTCATTAGTTTCCATAAATGATGTATAAATGTTATTGTATGTTATTGTATGTTATTGTATGTATGTATTAACATAACATACATACATACAATAACATTTATGCATCATGAGCCGATCACCACACCATACAACGCCATACATTGGTCACTATACCTTACATGTTTTCTATATACTCCCAAATTGGGAGTGTCTAAAGCGAGGCAGATCACATGATCAAGTAAAATATTTGTCACCTTTAATTTTTATTAAGTATACTGTAAACAGAATTTTAAAAATATAGGCGGATTTTTCGGATCAGGGCGCATTCTGTATCGGGTAAGCAAAAAAAAAATCATCCAATTCTACAATCGCCCAATGCTCTTTGCTTTTTTTTTTAATAATAATAATTATTGAGTTGATGAAATTCGTAAATTAATTACGAAAAGCATTATATTTATATGGTTAAACAATTCGTAACTTTTGTTCGTGCTTATACGTTAACAACCTAAATGAACTGATATTAATAAAGGTAAGAAAATGATTTAACTCAACCATACGATCATTTCTTTAAGTTCTCATTGGATCGTTTTGTTTTTTTCCTTTAGTGATAAATGATTTGATCTTTCTAGTATATATTTTTTTAATTTTCTGTTTTTTTTTGATTATTAAAGTTAATTATTCTATCATGAACATGGGGTCATTTCTTTCTACTGTGGTGGGACATTTTATTTTAAACGATTTATTATTATTTTTATTTTATTATATTATTTCGTTACTGTTTGTTTATTTTTTTTTAGATGAATTTTTAGTTAATTTCTTTCCGTTGTTAGGCATGGAATCGTCTCAAAACCCAAGCTAACTAAATAACTTAATATCACAATTATCTTGAAGGCCTTTCCTAAGAGAAATTAACGATTAACCATCAAAACAATTTATTACCACGATTCACTTGTGTAGTAGCTTAACACGACTAAATCCTATGATGAAGACAAGAAGAAGGTTGAAAGTAGTACTCCAAAAGGGTCGGGTCAGACCCGGGTGATCGACCTGACCTGGATTTTAAATCGAGTCAGGGTTGGTAATTTTAATGACCCATGACTCGCATGACCTGACCCGTCAGGTTAGGGTTGTACTGTTGCTTTGACCCAGAACAACCCAGGTGACCTGAGATAACGTTATGATGATGTAATGCGTATTTTTTTCCCACACGAAAAGTTTTTTTATGCTAAATTTTAGTTTCGTTTGTTGCGTATTTTTCTCACACAAAAAAGTTTTTTTTTTTTACGCGCTAAATTTTAGCTTTGTTTGTAGCTTATATATATGAAAAAT